CAATATACTTTTGCAAATTTTAACCGATTTAATTTATCGAATTGATATCAAAATATTCGATTTAGTACGACCGCAGTTAAATTAATTAATTAATCAAATTGACGTTAAATTTTTACAAATTGTAGTAAAGTTTTAAACGATTATTTGATTTATTGAAGTGATTAACTTCAAAACTCGTCAATTGAAAATGACAAGAAGGAGATCAGTTTCAAGCATTCTTGGCAATCAAAAAAAAAGTGAACGTAGACGTTCATTCCAAAAACCTTGCAAAAGGAAGAAAGTTCCTTGTTATTGCAATAATTGTAATGGAAAATTGGTATTGGAATGAACAAAGCTTCTACATGAGACAGGAGGCGAAACGAATGATTCGAATGAAGACAAATCAAGTGAGGACGAAGCTCTTTCGATAATTCAAGAAACTAGTGAACAAGACATTACCGAAAATATTGAATTACTTCAAGTAAATGTTGACGTTCATCAGACTTTGACATCAGGGTCGGATTTTGGAGGATACACCAAAAGTCAAAGGTTACAAATACCCGGGGACATAGATGTTAATTGTTCTTTTTTACCTCGGAGGCGCGTAAGATATACAAGCCATCCTATGTCTCAATTAACAAGTTTGAATATCGAATCAGACGTATATAATACTAGCGAACAAAACACTGAAATGTCTTTGGGTAGCGAATCAAATAATGAATCTTACAAGAAAATCTGATCGACGATAATTTTTCATGGATTTTATTGTGGATAATGAACTACCGTATAACATACAATATCCCAGAAACGGCAACCGAATCTTTAATAAAGTTCATGAAAATAGTTCTAAACGAAATCGGTGGTGAAAATTTTAGAACTTTTCCAAATTTTCTTTACCTAGCGAAAAAAGTACTTGGCCTAAAAGACCGATTTCAGAGATTTGTTCCATGTACAAAATGCCACAAACTCTATAATAAACAGGATGTAGAAAACTTTCGTCAAAACGAGAGTTTATCGGTTATGAAATGCCACCATATCGAGTTCCCAAACTCGTCTCGCCGAGGTACACGCACTTGCGACACACCTTTATCACGACAAATCGATGTTTCAAGAGTTCAAGCTGAATCAATATACCCATTTGCTGGATTTCGACAACAACTTTCTGATATGTTTTGTCGACCTGAATTCGAGAAATCCCTCCGACATTGGGCAAATCGATCAAATTCGAATAATATTTTATCCGATATTTATGATGGACGAATATGGAAAGAATTCAAAGATACAAACAACGATGATTCATTAAATTTTTTCCGAAATGAGGTTGCCGACTCGCATCTTGGCCTCATGTTGAATGTTGACTGGTTTCAGCCATTCGATAGAACTAATCATAGTACCAGAGCCATTTATGCAGTTATCTGTAATTTGCCGCGTAACATATGATTTAAGCGAGAAAACTTGCTGCTCCTTGGAATGCTACCGGGTCCGAACGAAGTGAGTCTACATAAAATTAATCATTACCTTGCACCAATCGTTAATGAGCTGACATCCCTCTGGGAAGGGATTATTCTAAATCGAACATACGAGCATCAGTTAGGAAAAAAAATTCGTGCAGCGTTGATAATAGTATCGTGCGATATACCCGCTGCGAGAAAAATTTGTGGGCACGTTTCTGCATTGGTTTCTTGCCACCGATGCCAGAAAAGGCAAATTATGAAAATCATCAGCATAATTTTGCTGGAATGGGAGATATGGAGGATTGGTTTGTTGCCAGAGATTCAAACGAACATCTCCAAAATGCACTTGGCTGGCGACGGTGTAATTCGGACGCATCAAGAAAGAGATTCGTTAAACAGACTGGAGTAAGATGGTCAGAACTACTTTGCTTGCCTTATTTCGACCCAATTCGTTTCACTATCATTGATCCAATGCATTGTCTATTTTTAGGCATTGCAAAATGGATTGTGAAGCGAATTTGGGTCGATCAGGGAATCTTAACTTCAAGTATGCTCAATGAAGTTCAAAAACAAATGAATCAATTTCAAGTTCCGGTCGATTTGGGTCGAATTCCTGGCAAAATCGACTG